CCTTATTTTTTTTATTAATTTTATTATATACAAATAAAATTATATATATAAATTTAATTAAAGTATTGTGATTCATTAAAACTAAGTATTTTATAGTCTCAACCACAAACAATTAAATTAAGAAAAAAATCGTAAAGTTATAAATAATAGTAAGTTGATTAACAAAAACAATATTAAACGTAAAATATTTAAATTTCTTAAAAAATAAAGTTTTAATTTTATAATCATCTTGAAATATTATTAAGTAGTTTAAGTCATTTTTTTAATGATGAATTTGCTCTTCCAAAAACATCTTTTACTAAGTTATTATGTTTATGTCCTAGCATCACATCTTTTAATGTTTTTAATATTTTTAGTTGCATTATCATTTCATTCATGATACTTGAATAACTGTTAATACCAAAAAAAAAAAATACTTGGATAATTAGATCAAATTCATCATAATTTCTTCATCTTTCTCTAGAAATTAGGGAGTATGAATTAATGAAAGGAGTTACCAATAGAAAAATCAATTTATAATAATAAGTATAATATTTAAAAATAATAATAATAAATAAAAAAAGGGGTCAACCCGTCAACCCACAGATTCACCCTAACCCAACTCGTGACCCATACGGATTGATAATATGGATTATTTATAAGTTGCAGTTGGAATATGTAAATCCTAACCCGTTTTTACTAGTTGGGTTAAGGATGGGTTGACGGCTCAGGTGGATTTTTGCTAAGTTTACCAAACATGCCCTAATTCAGTTTTATAAAACTGGACTAGAGATTGCCAACTTCACATGATACGGTTGTAACTATAAGAAAAATATTGGGTTTAATTTAATAATTAATTTATTAACTATCAATTTAATTTTATTTTTATCTAGAAAGTTTATTTTCTTTCTAAATGATCTATAAATTTTGAAAAATATTTTAAATTAGTCTACCCTACAAAATTTATGTTAATCTAACAAAAAAAGAACAGTTTTTTAAGTTTTAAAAAAGCAACACTATAATTTCAATAAAATATTATGATTCAAGAAATACTTTATAGAGATAGATTAGTTAGAATTTGTAATAAATTTGAGCAACTAGCTCAACGCAAATAGAGAAATTTAGTAAGTTTAGAATGATAAGTTTTAAGAGTAAGTCTGTTTTATAAAGCAGACTAAATACCGTCCGTCTTGTAAAATTATTTAAATATCTCTGAGAAAATAATATAAAAATAAAATTAATGAGATTTAAATAATTTTACATGATGGACTATGCAGTCTGTCCTATAAAATAGTTTTCTAAATAACACATTTAATAAGATAAAAATAAAAACTATTTTTAGGGTGAATATAAATTTAAGGACTAAAAAATCAAAAGAAATATAGTTAGAGGTATTAAATGTTTTCTTACAAGATAAGAAGATTTTTGTTATATTTGTTGACGACCACTTAAAAATTTCAAAATAAATGAAAAAAAATTAAGTGTGAAAAATATCAAAAAAGAGGGAGTCGCCACTTGTCCAAATTGTAAGGTGAGACAAGTCACCTAAAACAGGTCTGCGTAAAGATCGAGGTTCGGGGGTTCAGTTAGGAGTGAGGAAGGACATACGTGCACCTCACAATCCTCCGTTTAAACATGGTTGCATACTTTAAAATTGGGGCTTTAATTCAACTTATTTATTATGTTTATGTTTGAGTCTTAAAAAAGCAAACTTGAAAAAAAGAGATAAACCAAATCAAAACATTTTTTTTTTTGGACTAAAATGGACTAAATCAAAGACATGCATGCACAATAACATAAACAAGAAGTTAAAGGACTAACTTGATTAAATTCACGAACATAGAGGACTGATTTGAAAAAGGAGTTGACCCATGGACCAAATTGTTTAATCTTGAAAGTTCTGAGTAAAATTGAAACAAGGAAAGATAATTTTGCCTCTTAGCAAGATTAAAGGAAATTAAGGACTTAAATTAATTAACTAAGATAATTGATTTAATTAAATGATTAATTAAAATTAATTAAAATTAATTAATCATATTTATAAATCTTTTAATCAAGATAATTAAATAATATAATCATTAAAAATGATTAATTTATTTTAATTAAAGTTAATTAATTTTATTAATCATAAATTAAATTAATTATCCTAATTAATTAATCCTTTTTATTTATATTATATCATTTTTT